CCACCGCACACGCATATATATATATATATATATATATATATATATATATAGATATAGATATATATATAGATAGATAGATAGATTGATTGATAGTATTAAAATATGAAGTGCATCGAAGCAGGATGCTAAAAGAAGGAAAGCAGTAGAAGAAGAGGAGTCCAGGTGAAGGGCGCAGTCCACACAGTTGTAAAAAGAATATAAAAAGCTTTAATGATATATTTAGACAGCGAGGCCGGAACAACATGATCAAATAATAATAATAAGGCTCTCGCTGTTCTGCAGGGGACCTGCAGAGGGGGGGGGAGAGAAGAGGCAGAGGCGTGAAGAAGGTCGACACACCTAATAACTATGAAAGAACAATAAAGGTAAACGAATGAGAGGAGGGAAGACAAAAATAATAATAATAATACGTGGATGTAAGTTTCTCCATCTTTCTTCGAGCCGTTTTTGCGTTGTGAAATGTTTTCCGGCGTGTACATCGTCGGGGATACGAACCAGCAGTGAAACTGCCAGAACCGGCGAAAACATTCAACATAAACATCTAGAGAGAGAGAGAGAACGAAAGAAACAACAGAGCAGCAAACAGCCCAAAAACGGGAAACATCGAAAAAAATATTAATGAATAGATTGTATTGTGTACAGATCACCGTCGCTATCGGCGGCATCGGCATTAAATCGAGCTCATCGCCTTGGCAGCCTCCAGAAGTGCTCGCTCGTAAAACGAAAGCTCGCTTGCCTCCGCCGCGCCGTCCGCCCCTTCGCCGCGCAACGACGGACGCCCGGCGGTGGCCGAAGACGGGCGGCGCGGCGGCGCAGTCGGCGACAAAAGTCCCATAGGGTGCCACTCCGGCTTCGACAGCCCGCAGACACCACGCTCCAACCGCGTGAGCGCTCTCCGCTGCGCTGCGGTGGCCCTCGTCGTGGCCCTCGCGTTGTTGCTCTTCACCGCGGATGGGCCTGGGGTCGTTCCAACGGCGGCGGTGGTAGTAATAGGAGAGGTGGTGACCTCGATGGCAGAGAGGGGGGAGGAGCCCATCGCGGCGGAGCGTCGCGTCGTCGGTGCTTCCGTGTGGAGAGGGCATACGGCAGGAGATGCGCCGCCCACTTGCCCTCCCCTCCCCCTTCCCGCTGCGAAAGCTACGGCTGCTGGTGCCGCTGCTGCTGTCGTCGTCTGAATCTTTTGCGGTCTCGGTCGATCCGTCGCCTCCGCCGTCTCGCCACGCCGCGCATTCTCTGCAGGAGACACAGAAGAAGATCGCCGCGACAGCGTGGCGCAGGTGCTCCACTCACACGACTCCGCCGACTGCGCCTCCGGAGAAGAGGAAGTAGGCGCACCGTCGTTCGGCATGCTGCTGCCCTCTGCCGTTGTTGCCGCGCCTCCACGCACTGCATCGTGCTCTCGTGGATATGCGATGGCGGCCGTTGCTATTGTGATGGTGGCCATCGCTTGACGCAGCATGCGAGTCGCCGAATACGGGGGAATGGAATCTGACGAAACGGACAGCAGCAGCTGCGGCGGCGGTGCGCGCCTCCCCGTCCGTCCGCCCGAGCCACGACCTCCAGGTGCGACAGCGGATGAGAGAGACAGCCGACGTTGTGGGTTCGCCAGCAGCCCCGTCGGCTCCGCACACCCGTCTGAACCGTCGCTTCCAACGCAGATTCGACTCAGCGAGGTCGGGGGGCGGGCGGGGAGGCGGTGCGCCGGCGTGAACTGTCCTGCACTCCATGCCGCAGTGGCGCATGGGGCGTGGTGCAGCACTGCGCTCGTTGCGGTTATGGAAGTGGCGGTCGTTGATGTTGATGCCTCCGTGCTGGGTGGTGGCGCAGCTGCTTGTGGGAAGGTGGCGCTGCGGTTCGAGCTGATGCCGTTCGAGTGACTGTCGGTGCTGTAGCTCAGAATAGCGGAGAAGGCCGCCGTGCCTTGCGATGACGAAGATCGCGGTTGCTGCTGCTGCTGCTGGACGGCTGCGACGGCAGAAGCACCGTCGGTCCGCTCCTGAGGAGCGACGAAAGATGTGTAGACGCTCTCGCCGCTTGGTTTCGCCGTGGGGTACGAGACGGGCAGCGGTGCCCGGCGCTGCAACGCGGTGGGCGGCAACGGCTGCGGCAACGCTGCTCGTCGCAGGTGCGGGTGTCCTTCGTCGTCGCCTTCGCCTCTGCGCTGCGCTGCACTCGGTCGTAGTTGATGGAAATCATCTCGCTCCTCCTCCTCCTTCCCCGTCCGTTTCTCCTCTCCGCCGCCGTCGTGGACAACGGTGCAGACTTGAATTCGCCGCCGTGTCGGCGGCGCGACGGCGTAGGCGGCAGCGGAAGACGCGGTGGACGAGGTGGAAGCGAAGCCGGATGTGGGCAGCGGCTGGCGTGTTTCCGCGGTCGGCGACGGCGGCGACGAAGGCGTGTGTGTGTCGTCGTGCATTGGGAAAGAAAAGAAAGAATTCGAAAAACCCCCCAAAAAAAAAGTGAGAAAGAAAAAATGAAAGAGCCGAATGTGTGAAGCAATGAAATGATAGTGTGCTCGAATGCACGGGGGGAGCGACAAGGGGGAAAGAGACAACGAGAATTGGGCAAAATCAAAAAGAGACTGTCCTGGTGTCTCTTCTCAAAGGAAACCAAAGCAAAACCAGAAAGATGTCGCACAGGGGAAATTAGAAAAAAGAGAATAGCTGTTACTTCCCTCCAAATAAATAGAAAAAATGAGTCGGCCGCGCCAATACGAGAAGAGTGCGAGGAAGAGATCAATTCGAAAAGAGGGGGAGGAAAGAAACCTTCTCCGCAAATCCACTAGTAAAGGCGGGGGTGTGAGAGGGTAAGGCATATGTAATTAAAGATGGCTTGACGAAAGGAGCCAAAGATGAGGCAATGGATTAATCTATAGTAATAATAAAAAAGAAACTATGATGATAACAATAATAAGTTATTGAACGTGTTGTCGAACGCTTTCTTGCCTTTTGCCGTGCAAGACAACGGGACTGTCCGTGAGCTGTCCGTGTTGAAAGAACCGGTTATCTGTGGTGACCTCCTCACTACGCCTCTTTCTCAGAAAGCGTAGGAGAAGAAAAGAAACGGACGTCGCGGTTGAGGGTGTTTTGAGAAGAGAGAGAGAGAAAAAAGGAAAGGATCGGCCTCCGATTTCAATCATAAAAAAAAAACATTCGAGATGATCAAATATATATATATATAGAAAACCCTGTTTTATTCTTGTTCGCTCTTTCCTCTTCCACACCACCCACCTTCGCACGAGGGAGTCACCGGCCCACGAGCCTGTCGGCAATCCAGATCCGTCCAACGGCGAATCTGCTGGTACGGCGTGTGCCCGTGTCTTCGCTTTTCCTTTTCTTTTTCTCTATCTTTTCTGTTTTCTCCCTTTTACCGTTGAACGTCAATACAGGGGCGTCCTCGTTTCTTGGGATGGGGATTGAGGAGGGGGGGGGGAGGAAGTTGAAGGTAGATGGCAGAGAGGAAAGGAAAGGAAAAGAATAACCTACACCCTACAAATCATCACCTACCAACAGGTCAAACCTTTACATGAGAATTACATAAATTTATCTTTCTTGGTTTTACAACACACTGTGAATATCAATAGTTAAATAAATGCAACGAAAACAAACTATTCAACAGACTCTACGAAGTGGGTAGCCCGCCTTACGCTTCCCCGCTCCCCTTCGCAAGTCAAGCCCCTTCGCCCAGTCGTGTATCTCAAAAGGGCGGCCACGCGATAAACCATCGGCGGGGTTATCCTCGGAGCGCACGTACTCGAAGGACGGTATCCACCCACGCGCGTCCACCAGCGCGTAGATGGCGCGTAACTCCGAAGCCAGCGCCCACGACTTTGTGTGAGCTTTTCGGGCCGAAAACAGAAAAGATGTATTGTCGACATGGATGTGCACGCGGCGGTGAATCTTAGCCGCGAAAGCTGTGAGCGCCAAACGAACAGCGCGGGCCTCTGCCTCCATGATCATAACAGGGGGTGTGTGCCAGCGACCTCCTGCAACGAAAACGCGTCCTGCCGGGGATATGAAGACAGCCCCCCATCCGCTGAGGGAGGCGTCCGTGACCAGAACCGGACACTCTGACTGCACGCATGCAACCACACTCCGTGCCCGGTTTTCCTGCACGATGGCGAGGAACTCCGAAGCCTCCGTGAAAACAGACGGGGACATCTCCACCACCGACGAAGCGCCCAGGAGGCCCTTATTCAGCGCTGACAACGTGCGCCGAACAAATTTCAGGAGAAAGTAATATTGAACCAAACGAATGTTCAGTACCGCCGCTGCATAGATAAGCTTAGATGCAAGAACCTCCAACTCGGCGACGGTTATCCGCGATCGTACCGCTACGGACGCGATTTTCCCCAGAAACTTTGCCCCCAACTTGACCGTATTGGTGTCGTGTGAGAAGTTGACACCCAAAAACTCGTAATTGGTGGCGCACTTCTCGACCTCGCCAAAAGCAGCGCCACAGTTCGCAGCACACACCAGAACCTGCTGTTGAGCAACTTCAACTTCGGCCCTCTTCCCGGACAAACGAATGTTGTCGATCCAAACATCGACACTCACACCCGTGGGGACGGCCAAACTACGTTTGACGTAGCGCGGATGGGCGGCGAGCGTCGAAGTGACGATCTGCAGAAGCCCAGGACTGGCTTTGTAGCCCATGGGCAGACGGGTCAACTGAACCAAAGTGCCGTCCTGCAAATGGCACCGGAAGTTCCTGCGAGTGTGCTCGGGGAGCGAAACCTGGAAGAACGAGGCCTTGAGATCCATGACGGTGGCACACTCGTCATGAACGCTGGACATATACTCGCTGATGTGGCGTAAGTCGTCCAGCTGCGTCTCGTAAAGGTCCTGCTCGTTCTTCTCCCGCGGCCAGGCGATCCACCGTCGGCGCTTGCCTGAGGGCTTCTCCTCCACCACCGAGAAGGGGTGGATCCAACCACGCGTATCCGCATCGGGTGCCTTCTCGATGATGCGCGCTTCCAGCAAGCGCGTAGCGTCGTCCATCGGCACCGCCCATCGCGACGGTCTTGAGTCGCGCGGTTCCTCCGAGAGCAAGGCCATCAGGGCGTCAAAGCGCTTCCGAACGCGATAACGCATTCTGTCCCTCAATGGACCGATGTCCAAAGGCGAGACCCCAACTTGTTGCAAGGGCAGAGCCGCCACCTCGGCTGGCCCTGCCACGGCTGTCTTGTGAGAGCGACGCGTGATCGTCGCTCGCGAGCGAAACTCAGGTAGCACCTCCGGCAGGTGCCACGGACTTACATCCTCCGGACCAAATCCGATATCCCTGTTAGCCAGGCCGTTGTCGGGCCCAGATAGCTGACGGAAGTCGACGGCATGTCGAAGATGTTTGCATGCTTCATCAGCCGGGGTACCAGAAAGGGGTCCAGATTCAGCTCCGCGACCAGGCTCGCCGCGTGCTGTGCGGCCCCTCGTTTGATCGAGTGCGCAGACGCACTCAGAGGCTTGAGGCGCTTCGTCACCTCTGCCGTCGTCAGGGCCGTCAGTTGGGGGCCCGGAATGGCCTTCAGCAATGCTATGATTGCCGCTGCATCGTCGCCGCTGATCAACACATAACGCGACGCTCGATTCGGGTCCATCTGGCTGGACTTGGGCCCGGCGGCCCAGTCCAAGAGAACTGTCCCATCGTCCCTGATGGTGAAGCTCTCCTTCGTCAAGGTCCGAATGTCGGACCACCTGCTGGCCGCAATCCAGCAAAGACGGAAGACGGTGCGGTCTTCCCAGGACGGGAGCGCCTGGACAAAGCGCTCGAATTCCTCCTTCTCCAACGGTCTCGCCTGCTTGCGCTCGGTCTGCGCTGCCATGCGCGTCAACCCCAGAGTCACCACGTCGAGAGGTGTTCGCTGGTCCCTCAGCATGCCGCGCAACTGGCGGGCATACTGGACGAGCGTCGTCGGTTTGAGGTCGACGCGAGCGCCCAAAAACGCTACGGCGCTCAGCTCGTCGGTGGGCTTCCCGTACTCCAGGCAAAAGCGGATAAACTGTCCCGCGAGGCTGAGGCGGGACTGCCAGGTCGACTCGGCGTATATGCGCTGCGCGTAGGTGTTCGCCGTCGTCAGGAACGTGCTCCACGCGGGCGGGTCCGTCGCCGTCTCCTCGTACACAAGCCGGGAGTCGTTGGCGCCGAATAGAGGGGCGCGAAGGTTTCTTTCCGCAATCACGAACGTGGAGTTGATTAGCGGCGTGCGAGTGGTGACAACTCGCGGCAGGAAGCCGGAGGCTGGCGGACATGGCCGATGAGCCTCGTCGGTCGGAAGAGAGCGCCTCATGGACGGGATAGGTGGCGCCTGGTATGTCGCAGGAGCTGCGATCCGACGTGAGACTCTCCACGGACGGTTTAGCAGCTCCTCGCTGTTGGGAGACCTCGAGCCTATCGGGATCCGCTCGCCGGACCTCCAAGGCAGGATCTCTCCCATTGCCCTGCTGCAGCTTACGCGCCTCCTGTTGGGCCACGAGAAGGCGCTTGCGGAAAACACCGCAACGGGTAGGGACCTCATCTGGTTGCTGCCTCACTTGCGTGGGGTCCCTTTTCCGTTTTTTTTTGGTCGCTGAGTTTCTTGCGACACTCAGTCGACACATGCCCTGCTATGCCACAATAGTAGCATCGAATGCCGGGGCCGGCAGTGCGCGAGGGCGTGCGCGAACGAACTCGCGGACGCTGCGCCAAAGAACCAAAACGAACCGTCAAGGGATCAGCAGGATTCAAGAACCTGCCGAACTGGGAGTAGAAGTCCTGTGGACTTGTTCCCGGGTGTTTGCTGTACAGGTCCGCGACCCGCAGAGCAAACAGAAGCGCTTCGCCTTCGGCAAAGTCCAACTCATCCGGCTCGACCCTCGTGGCGAGGTTGTTCATGAAGGCCTTTAAGGCCTCCACAACCGCCCGTACGATCGGGACCGGCAGCTTGAGCTCCATCGCCGTCTGGAGCTCCAACATCAAAATCGCCTGGCCTTGTGGCAGGCTCAGCACAGGGCCCCAAGAGCGCGCATCGTGCCATCGAAAAGGCGTCGGCGCCGCTGGCACGTCGAGAGGGTACGGCTCGCGTCCCCGCAAGATGTCTTTGGCACCGCCCGCCACTGGATGTTGGAGGGTGCTGAACGGGGGCGGGGGTGGGCGAGCTGCGAGGGGAGCAGCCAGTGGTGGCGAAGGGCGCACCGGCGCCATCGAGAAAGGGGGAGGAGGGGGCAACTGTGCACCCGTGCGAGACCGCGGGGGCGGCGTAGGGGCTTCTGGCGGCGCCGCAGTGACGGGCTGAGCCGGCGCGACAGCAGCGGCAGTTTCAGCGTCCGTCGCAGGGCGTTCACCGCGAGCGGCCTGTATCTCCGCTTGCATTGCTGCGAAGCGTTCTTCCATCTGGCGCTGGTTGGTGCGCCAATCTTGCTCTCTTCGGAGCGCGTCGGTCAGCAGTTGCTGCTGTTCGCGCAACTGCCGGTGGAGCTCCTCGTCCCGCGAGAGGATCACCGCTGCGCGCCTCTCCGCTTCCTGCGCAGCCTGCTGTTGATGGAGGGCCGCGTCGATCTTGCTCCGCGAGTCGCCCTCTATGGTGCTCAGAGCCGTGCGGCTCTGATTGAGGCGCTCCTCGGCCTCCGTCTGGCTGCGGTGCACGTAATCATGATGCGCCGCTTGGGCCTCCAGAAAGCCCTGACGCCCAGCAGCGTGTAGCTCTTCGGCGTGGAAGCCCTCCATGCGCGCGCGGAGCGCCGCATCGTGAGCGTTGAGGCGCTCACTGGTTCTGTCCACGCGTTCTTGCGCGGTGGACAAGGCAATGCCTTGAGCAGTGGAGTACCCTTCTCCACGAGCCACAGCAAGGTTACGCTCGTGCAGGGCGAGCGCCTGTGCGTCAAGATAGCTCTGACGCGCGTCCAAACCATAAGTGGCGTTATTCGCCGCCTGCACTGCGTTCGCCACATATTGGGCACTGTGACCCAGTTCCTGCGCCTGCCGCAGGAGCGAAAACTCAGCTTTCGCCAGAACGTCAAGCTGCACCTTTACCGTCGCCTGCGCGACGGCGGTCTCGAGTTATGTCCCGAGTTCCCGCGCGAGAGGGGTCGCAACCAATCCGGCGCGAATGTTGGACACACAACTGGTCGTAGAATCGACGAAAGCTGCGTCGTCCCACGGCAAAGCTGGCCATTGATCCAGCTGGAGGGAAAGTGTCGTCGTTAAAAAGTCGATCGACACCATCCCGCGATAGGTTATTCCTCCGACGAGGAGGAAAACCTCCAGAGGCTCCAGCTGCTGCTGGCTTCGTCGAGCCTCCTCGAAAGGGGCTCGCAGCCGCTGGCCAATCGCGCACCACTGATCGCGCGAAAAGACGAAAGAGGTATCGTCCGCGGTAGTAGGAACAAGGGTCATTTTTCCTGTGTTTAGAGTGTATTGCTATATATATAGATATAGATATAGATATAAATGTTTCTAATTCTTTTTTTTGTGTGTGTGTGTGAGTTAAGTACTTGATTTTGATATTAAAAATAGACTTGAAAGAAGTATGGTAACAGGAAACTAAAAACTAAAAGATGGAAGAACTGCTGAATTCTAGCAGTTGAGAAAGAGAATACAAGAAAAGGGGAAAAGAGAGAGGTAGGATGAATAATTCTTCAGGCTAGGTCATTCTATTCGCAAGCTCCAAGGAAAAGGAAAAACAAGAAGCAGTGCGTCACGTACACTATCGGGCACACCAAAACAGACAAGAAAAAATTGTGGAGATGAAACGAGAGGCGAGGTAACGGCCTTCTCTCTTTTTCCCCAAGGGCTCAGACGGCGTCTCAGACAAAAACAAAAGGGAGAGAGAAAACAATAATAATTGGTGAGAAAGACGAAAGGAGAAGAGTAGTGCGACTGCAAGTTCAACTGGACGCCGTGGCCGCTGCGTAGCCGCAGCAGATCCGTTTTGGAGGCTCGCCTCGGGTTTCTTTCTTTCCCTTTTTCCCTTTTTTACTGTATGATTATTTACGGTTCATATGTGAGCTGCCTGCACTTGGTTCAGATCGAAAGCATGAGAAGAGTATTATTTACTTCCTCTAAAAGATGGTTGTAGAAAACCGCTGAATGGTGCAGAAATGTTAAACACACAGGCTGCACTGGAGGAGGAGGTGGAGGGGGGGAGGGGTGTTGGGGGGGACACGGCGGTAAGCGCCTTTTTCAGATGTACGCAATTGTCTTTGAGCAGACCACCAAAGAGGAGAAACGAGAGCAGCAGTAATAAGACAAATAACAAAGAGGGAGGGAGAGTGCGTGAGAAGGGGGAAGTAAAGGATGGAGTGCAATTGGATGTGCCATGCTGTGCGACGTTGAGTAGGAGAGTACCGTGTCGCTGAGCACGACGCATTGTTTGTGCAGGCCACGGCGGGGTGTGGGCGAAGGGCACGAGAGCGTGTTGCGCCTCGACTCTCTCGCCATTCCTCCCTCCATTTTCGTCCGTCCTCTCCGAGATTCTCCGTCACCACACACGAGATCAACGGAGGATATTTTTTTTAACAAAGAAGGTTTCGTTGCTGTCGCTTTTGCTTGACCTGTTGCCGCATTACGCACGATTTTAGAGGTCGTTGGGTACTTCGTCGAGGAGCACAAAAACAAGCAAAAGGAGTTTATATATATATATATATAACGGCCAGAATGGATGCAGCGCAGCGCCTCCCTTCAACGGTATCTTGAAGAGGAAGACAAGAGAGGAGGAAGGGTGTTCGAATGAGGCGAACGGAGACGGAAGGGGGCGGGGAAGCACAGCAGCACGCATAGAGACGAAAACAAAATTTTAAAAAAAGGTTTAAAACCTGTGGCAGAACACGTGGTCCAACGCCACGACAGATAGCGAGAAAGAAAAAAGCCTCCAATAGAAACAAGCAAAAAAGGGCAAAAAAGGCGAAAAAAAAACCTTGTCGAACGCTGCAAACAACCGTGTGCAACTCTCCGCGGTTTCTTTCCCTTTTGGGATACTAAAAACACGGAAAAGGAACAACATATATATATATGTCGCTTGAGCGGCGCATTGGAAAATCGATGCTCCTTCAACACACCTGCAGAACTACCTCCATCTATAGATTGGCACGAAGCAGCAAAAGCATGCGCAAGAGGCGCAATCGTCGTGATCGACGGTGCGGCGAGACGTGCCCACCGCAAGAGCCTAAAGTGTGTTGGAAGAAAAGTATATATCAAGAAAGCGCTCTAGAAAAAAAATGGGAAAGCGAGAGTAACCTGGGATACACCCCACAAGCAACACTGAACAGCAGAGAAGAAAAAGAGGAAAAACCTGGGGTGTATAGAAGTCTTTTGTTTTTCACTAATAAAAATGAGAAGTAACAAGCGAAACTGAAGGGGGAACATGTGTTGTGCGAATCACATAAGTAGAGTTTAATGTATAAACATGATATAGTATATAAAGGCGAAAGAGAGAACAAAAACATCTTCTCTGCCGTGTCTCGCAAGACCACTCAACAAGCAACGACACAAAAATATTTACGAAGATATGGAGGATGACGAGCTTAGCAAAAAAACGATTGACGGCAGAGAGAGGGAGAGAGAGGGAGATGATGAGTAGAATATATATGTATTTTTTTACAAAGGCAAAGAAGGAGTGGAGAGGGGTCTTGAAGGGTTGTTAGAAAAAGTCGCCACCACGTCGCGCGTAGGCGTCTTGCCTCTTGCTAAGTCAAACGCACGGTGACGCATGACCATATATAAAAAAGAAAAAAAGAAATGCACTCAGCATCGCCGTCTTCATATCTTCTTCTTCACGAACTACCGCGGTCACCATCGTCAACGCGTGTGGTACGACTCGGTCCGCTGGTAAGAAGAAAATCTAGAAACACTAGAAAACGAGATGCTGTATGTGATCGGTGCGTAGAATGAAAAAAGAAACAAGAAAAGCCTCGCATGGTACTAGTAAAGAAACCCAATTTGTATGGGAGATGTACGCAGGGGGGAGGGAGTTCACATGTTTTTCATTCCTTGAAGGCACGATCAAGAGAGAATAAATAAACCACGTACATGCAAGTTAATCGACTGCAAAAGAAAACAAAGGAGGGGGAAAAAGATTGTCGCACAGCTAATGAAAAACGCAGAAGAGAGATTCAAAAAAAGGCAAAGACATAGAATGGGCCGTCGTCAGCACGCTTCCCCGAATTAAACGATTAAGAACAATTATGATATCAACTGGAGTTAAGGAGGAGAGAAGATAGTGAAGGGGGCACAAATAACACAAACAAATCGCCGTTTCTCCCGCACCTCCTCTTTTTAGTTTTCGAAGTGAAAGTTGCAAAAATAAAACAAAAAATGGGATTAGAAAGAAAACAAGAAAAGAGTGTGGTGGTGGGATTCGTTTTGTCGCCCTTTAAGTATTAATTATAATCGTGTAGGAAGAAGAAAGAAGAAACGTACAGGGGCACGAAACATGGCAACGCAGAAGGAGGGAAAATTTGAAAAAGGAAAATGAAAAAAAAAGGAGAGAAAAGAAACCAGACAACCCTGCTGCTGTTCGGCTATCTGGTCGAATCACCTACCAGAGTGCAGAGACCATGCGAAAAGACGGCCGCGCGCCTCGCTGGCGGCGCAGCAGTGACCGATTTTTAAAATAGAATATTAATAGAAAAATATAATAAAAATGTAATATCACAGTTAATAGGTACGTCAATGCCGTCTGCCGATCACTTTGGAACGAGAGAAGGCAAATAGAAAGTGGTGGCAATGAAGAAGAATTAGAAAGGAGAAAGGAACAAAAGATAGTAAGCGTTACCACCTGCCGCGCTTCTTCCCCCTTTCCCTCCCCCGTCCTTCATGCTTCCGCCTCGCTGAGTCTTCTGCGTGGACTCTACCCACAAGGTGAGAACACCGTTTCCTTTGGTTTTTGGGGGGTGGGATCGGGGGATGGAGATGCAGCAGCGAGAGCAGCAACGAAGCCAACAGAAAACCAAAAAAAAAAGTCGTGGCTCTGGATAAAATCATGATGAAAGGAACTGAGAAGATGAGAGAAGGAGGAGGGCTAAAAGATGAGAAAACACAAAACATAAAAGCTTTTATCACCGCAAACCGGTGGACAAGAGAGATAGAAAGAAAGAGATGAAGAGGAAGGTGGGGAAAATATATATATATATATATATATATATATACTACGCCGTGTACAAGACAAAATTTGACCTCTGACATCAGAATTATTATTCTTTTGTTTTATATATGTATATGTGTAACAGAACGCTGGTTTCCCTTCTTCTAAGCTGAATCTTTCTGCAAAAAGCCGCTTTTCTTTTAAATTCCCCCTTCCGTTTCGCATTCCTTTCCGGGTTGCTTGTTGACGAGACTCAATGTGTTTCTCCCACAATACGTCACGAGCAGTGCGTGCTCTATACCGGCGTTCTTTTCTTTCATTAACTCGTCAGTCGAATTGTCTCCCCGCAAACGCACGCAGCCACGCCTGTGAATGCAGCCGCTCACGCTCTCGATGGAGAACGCATCCTATATCGGCATGGCCGCCGCCGCGGCCAACAGCGCCTCCGTCGCACTCGCGGCGTCGTCGCACGACAACGCCGTGTCCTGCACCGCACGTTCAAACCGCATGTACGCGGATGTCTTCACTGGTGCGGCCGTAGTTCCATTCCGCACCCACAGTCGCGGCGGCGATGACGGAGAAAGAGAAGAAGCGTGCTGCCCGCGTCGACGGCCTTCCTCCGTGTCGGGTACAAAGCAGGAGTTCAACAGCGGGCTGCCCCCTTCACCAGCCGGCATTCGCAGCACCACCGACAACGAACTCGTCTTGCTGACAGCGGACGGCACAACAGGGTAGCCCTCGATCACCGTGCTCGTCACGCCGCCGCAGCAGCCGTGCGAAAACGAGTTCGTTGTCGGGCTCGCCGTCTCCGCGACGGTAGACTCGGTTAGGCAGTACAGTAAGCCGCCCAGGAAGAAGGGCGACGCGGGCGGGCACCGCGTACCCAAGCGTGCGTGGACATCGCTGGAGGAACCCTGCAAGGACAACTCGTCCACCGACACCTGAGTGCCATGCGGAAATGGAAAGCGACCGCTCTGCGGAGAAGACGATGACGAAGAAGATGCGATGACGATGGTGGTGGTGGTCGTCTGCACACGGCTACGGCGCCGCTGCGGTTGCTGCGGCGCTGCTCTTGGCTGCTTGCTCTTCTCCTCGTTATCCGTAGTAGCGGCGGCAATAGGATCTCCAGCCGCAGCGCACTTGAGGCAGAAGATGGGTGACTTGCTCGCAGTCGGGGTGCTGCTGCCGCCCACCTCCTCCGAAATGTACGGCCGGGTAGCGGTGGAGAACAGCATATCACCCTCCTCCCTCCCGTCTTCGTTTTCTTCATCATCATCCGCAGCAGCGGCGGCGGTGGTGGTGGTGCGAGCAACGACATCGGTGCGAGTCGGGGCCTCGGCGAAGTTCAAATCGCGCAGCGCCGCTGCCGTGATATTGCTGCTGCTGCTGCGACGACACTGCTGCTGCTGCTGCTGCTGTAAGACGTGCTCGATGTACTCTTCCATGTCAACGTTGGGCCTATTCGTACTCATCTTTCTGTTTAGGAGGAGGAAGGGGGAATTCACACGCACACAACGCGTGAAGGCGACAGTTCCCTCTCTTTTCCGATTATTATGATTATTTCTTTTCTCCTTAACTCTTCTCTTTGTTGATCGTGGCAATGAAGGACTTCCTTTCTTTCGTTTCTTTAAGGACTCGTAAGCGCCAGAGTGAATCAACAACCGGGTAGAGAAACAAAGGAACAGTGAAGAGGATGAATGGAAAAAAAAAAGAAAAAGAGGAGCCTTTTTTTTCTGCCACAGAAGGAAAAACGAATTGGCCCGTACGTGTAAACGCCCTCGAAGAAAAAAATTGCGGTTGCAACGCGGAAAAGGAGAACAATGGTAACAACAAAGCCACTTTCCTTTCTTTCCTTTCTTTTTTACAAAACCAGAAAAAAAAAATTAAGAAGGGAGAGAGCGGCACTGAGAGATGCAAGCGTGATGGTGACAAGACACAAAAGGAAAGATAAGAATCGGGAAGGAAGAACGCGATGTGCCGCTGGTCGTGCCGCACCCTCGTCGCAGGCGACTTCACGGAGAACGAGGAAGAAGAAAGAAAAAAAGGAAAAAGATGAACGGAAGGAAGTCTAGAAAGTGAGCAACGAAAGATGTACACAAAAAGTTCCGTTGACTGAGACAGCAGGAGCTATGTATAAAGGAACATATATAAATATATTTACAGATTTATGTATATATAACTGTAAGGTATGAAAAGATCAAGACAAACAAGAAGCTTTGGGCTCGAAGAGAATCACCTTTATGACGGTTATTCTTGTTTACGCAATGGAGAACACGGCGGCAGCAAAGCTTGGAGAACAGATAAAGGCACTTGCGGTTTGCTCTTCTATCGATTGAACTGAACTGCGCGCTGCAGTAGCGCTGTCGCGTACTCTCAATCAGAACCGCTGTGCTTTACTTATTGCTTTTTCAGGTCGCAGACGCAACTCCTCGCTGTGGGACAGCTGTGGGGAGGTTTTTGTATCAATACAACTGCTCTTCACCTCCCAGAGAAAAAAAAAAGAGAAACGGAAAAGGGAGGGACGCTTCCTTTTGTTTCCCTTCTTGGTGGCTTAAGCTATCTGGTGGTGCGGTTACGTGAGTGCTCCGCTCGGGTATTCCTCTTCTTTGCTTTTATGGATGGACAGATGTTTGTGTGTGTTGGGTACGGCAGCCCAAATGGTGGAAGAGGTGTGGAAGGAGGAAAAGAGAAAGGAGGGAGGGGAACAGACGCAATGGAGGCAAGTGAGAAGCCCAGTCAAGGAAGGAGAGAGCACACACACACACATACAGCGTGTGTCGTGATCGTGGCGGTTCGAAATCCTTGAAAGGACGATTCTGTTCACACGATTGGCTGTCGCCGTTGCCGTCGTTGTTCTGCTTTCTGTTTCTCTTGATGCTGGCATAGCAATAGTAGAACTCACAGCGCAGCCCGCTCACTCCACTGAGAGGAGCCATGTCTGCGCGGCGGGTGCGTCACGTGTGCGTAAACCTGTAATGCACGTGCGGTTGCCCTTTTGTTTGTGTGTACGTTGGTTTTCTTTAGTTAGTGTTAACGATTTTGGCGATGATGCGGCTCCGTAATTCAGGCGGCGACACCAAAGTGCGGGAGGTTTGAAATAATAATATTTAAAAAAAAAGGAAACTCCGTTTAGAAAGGTCCGAAGTTACATAGAAGATTTGAGTAGTAGTAGTTGTAGTAGTAGTAATTGTATATACGATCCTGCAAGCTCGTCAGAGCAAACGACGAAGAAACAAACAAAAAAGGGAAGAGGGGGAAAAAAATTCAAGACTAAACATACATACGATCTATACAGAGGAATGAGAATAGAAGAGAGGGAAGGGAAGGGAAGAATAACCTCCTCAAAACAAAAGAGATAAATAATGTTTCAGTTCGAGGATCAGCACACCACCGCGCTTTTTGTGATCTATTCTTCTTCCCTCCGACACTTTAGCGTCCCGTCGGTGGAGGGCAGACGAGCGACTCTGATTTACCCATCTGGTCCGCCGCGTAGAGGGAGGCACGCGCGCGCTTCTCCGTCGTGTCATCACCCATCGCGTGCAACGATGGTGGTTGCACCGCCCGCTCCAGCCGCCAGCCACGTCGCCGCGGTGTCGAGCGGACGGCGCCGAACAACGACGCGTGAGCGGGTGCGTCTACTTGACGATCCGCCGCCTCCGCCACGAGCGAGACGGAGCTCCCCGCCACGTCGACCGTTGCCTGCCGGGACAGCTCCTCTGTACGATTGGAAAGAAGCAAGTGCGGGGCCGCCCACCGCTGCTGCACCGCTCTGGCGCTGGCAAAGGTGCAGAGGAGCGCGTCTGCAGTGGTGCGTCGATCATCCACGGCGTACAAGCTTCCATTGAAGGATGTGGGGGAGGAGGAGAAAGGCGGTACGACGCCGGTGCGGTTGTGCGTCGGTGTGCTGTCGCTGCTGCTGCTGCTGTGCGCCGGTTGTGGGAAGGACCTCCCATACGTCCCTTCGTCGTCGTCGTTGTTCACGGTGAAGCGCAGCTGCCTTTCACGTGTGAAGGGAGGCTGCGGTGACGAGGGGGACAAGCTGCGAAGCGACTCGTTGCCCTCGACGCGCAGCGATGCCACCTCCCCACCGCCGTCTCTGCCGCCGCCCCGCGCACCCGCCGCGTACGCAGGGGCTGCCCGGAACACCTGCGCGGGGGGGGCGGGTAGACGCCCGCTGAGGTGGTCGCAGAAAGCGTGTACCCACGACGGCAGCAGCGCCTGCGACGGCGGTGGCGAAGTCCACTGACGACGCCGCGCTGACAGAGGCGTGGATGGGGCCGACGGCGCAGCAGCGGCTGATGCGTGCGGCTGCCGCTGCGGTGGTGGTGATGCGAACGGTGTCGTGCTGGCGAAGGTGCGTGACGGTGTCCCCCCCATCTGCGTTGTAGTAGCGACAGTTGTTGTCCCGCCGGTTTGTGTCATCGACGACGGCTCCGCTGCCGGAAGATCCAGCGTGGCAACAGAGGCCCAACGAGCGCTAGAAGAAGACAGCGGCGGCGTGCAGACTTGCACAGCAGCAGCAGCAGCAGCGCCGCCGTCCGCAGAAGCGCTCAACGCCCCCGACAACACCTCGGACGTGGAGGTAAAGTCGTTCTGACACGTCGGTGCACGAGCAGAAGCCACCGGCGCATCACCGTCCTTCTTCTGGTGTTGTCTCTGTTGCTGCGGTGTCTGTTGTGGTAGTCGTTTGCTCCGTAGCGAGCTCCGCGCCGGTGCGGTTGGGCAGTGAAGGCGAGGCGTCGGAGGGGTGGAGAGCGTACGTGGAGTGATCAGCGAGGCGGACGGCGGAGTTCGCTGAGGTGGAGGCGGCGGTGACGGCGGCGGGATGCCTCCCGGGAGCGACTCGTGGACGTTGTCTGTGCGGTACCTTTGGTGCATCGGCTCGAAATAACCAAAAAAAAAGGGAGGGAAAAGACGCGTTCAACTCAAAAGAAAATCAGAAAAGGCACGAATAAAAACAAAAGACGATTTAGGAGGAAATAAAAAGGGATACTATCGTCGCGTAATGTTCAAGATGCCTTTCAACTCTATTCTTTTTATTATTCATATTAGTCAACGAAACTTACGCTTCTATATATATGAGGCGTTGTTGCAGCTGTTTTTGTCGGGCAGTAGGCTTTGCTTTTTCTTTTAGTGATGTATTGCAGCTGCAAGCTGCGATGCTGAAGAACGCAAAAAAAAGGAAAAAGACAAAACGGCAGAGAAGTAGGCGTGTATACACGCAGAGACAATTCCTTTCCTCTTTTTACCTCCGTAAAAGGTGTGGATCGGACGACAGGGTGGAAAAGTCCCGCGGTGGAAAAAAGAGAGAAGTCAAGGTGCCCACTTTGGTAGATGCACTCCAGCACGGCACGCTAAAAGAAAAGTATTATTTAAACAGAGAAAGAAAAAAAAAACTTTTGTTGTTGTTGAGATCACGAGGAAAAGAGTTAGACGGCGAAAACAGAAAACGAAACACTATCGGGAAAAGGGGAAAAGGGATGATCAGAGCAGTGAGGGTAATTCGATACATATACGCGCGCCCTTGCTCGGTCTTCTTTTTTCTTTCTTTTTTTTTTTACTGTCAAGGTCGCCGCTCAACAACCCTATGTGCTGTGTGGATTCGGCTGACAGAGCGCAATCGACGACACACCTGGACAATGAAAAAAAAAAAAACAGGTAAAGAAGCTACAATATATATATGTAGCCTGGCGTTGTGATCTCTCCTGATTCTTAAAAAAAAAAAGGAAGTATTTTTAGTCGTGAGTTGGTGTGTATATAGCTGTATATATGTATGTGCCTTCGGTATGGTTGCCTTCGCAACGAAGGCTTCGCCGTTGCAAAGAACTCCGCGCGATTCCTCTCGTACTCCAACCCACCGTTATTATTCACACAGACGTTAAAAACACCTCCTTTTGTAAAGTTAACTACTTTTGAGGGTTCTTTTAAAAGTCAAAAGGGAAAAGAAAGACGGAGAGAACAGTAAAAACGAAATCTACAAAAAAGGAAAGAAGAGAGGAAGCCAATGTGTATGTATGTATACCAAGATATATATATATATATATATATACGTTGAAGGGAGGGGGGCAGGAGGATTCCACGAGAGCAACGAAAGCACAGAGACCGATGTGTTGCGGATTCGGAAGTCAGGCGGGTTCGAACACCACCAAGAAAAAGCAAAGGAGGGAAAAAAGCAAATCAGCAACGCTACGCAACTCGATGTAAGTACTCGGAACAAGAGAAGGAGAAAACAAAAGGAAAAAAAAACGAGGGCAAAGGTAAGAAAGAAGAAGATCCAGCAGCCCCTTTCAGGATATCGTCGAAGCGGGAGCTGTAGCCAGAAAAAAAACAAAAAGGCGAGGGGAAAAAAGGAATCGATATGATGAAGAACGAGACAAAAGAGATGACAGTGTCGCCCCTCTCGATCACCTCTCTTCTGACCTGTTCCCCCAAGGGGAGAAAGAACTACCGGGTTCGAATGTCTGTATATTTGTATGAGTGCGTGTGTGTGCGTGTGCACAGCTGCACCACTGAACGCTCCAATGAAAAGAAGAAAAGGAAATCCACAAACTGTGAACGCAGAAGACTAAACAGGAGCTACCAACGTCCAATTATTCAGTTATTATATATATATATATTTTTGGCTTCACAAAAGAGCTGACAGAGCACATTTACGAAGAGGAGGGGGTGACCACAGCGAACGGGAAAGGAAAGTGTTAAAACGATATTTGCGGAAGACAGGACGGCTCGCACCTGTTGAATGCGAACGCACGGCAAAGAGGCGCAATTTTTTCGAAGAAGACAAGCGAGAAGAGAAAAGAAAAGAGATGGATCTACAGCGGCAGCAAAACAAAGCGAAATAATAATAAAAACGAGGGGGCGCCGACGACAGCGCGCTGTGTGTGTGTGCGTGAGTGTGTGAAGCGCTTTCTGGGAAACCCCCTTCGCCGTCTTTTGATCTAATGCTGCTCGACAAACTCTTTTCTTTTTCAAGTTTTCTGGTCGTCTATGTCTGTTTTTTATTGTTGATTGTGTTGATGCGCATTACCGTGAGAGGAAGAGCGAGATGAGGGGAAAGAGAACAGGAGAGAGTTGGGGAAAAAATTGAAAATGGAAGGGAGTTGGATGGTGGCACCGTGCGGTGCGTGCGACACCTTGCGCGCGTGTGGTCGGCTAAAAAAAACGACGTTTTAAATTAAAAAGGAGGGTTGTCGTAATTGTCTCTTTTTTCTTTCTTCTTTTAAGTTGTGAGAGCGAGAAGGAAGACGCACACGAGCGAGGGGAAGTGCTCGACGTAGCGCGCTAAAAACGTCCAGCAGCAGACCACAACGCGTAGGTACACGTGGGTGTCGCAGCACCCCACCCCCACACACCACACCCACCGTTGGCATCACCTACCATTGAGTCGAACAAAGAACGACGGCGTGCCCCTCTTCGTTCGTGTGTTTGCCTTCAATGATGCGAAACTTGTGATAACATGCGATTTCTTTTATTAGTATTACTATTATTGTTTTATTTGAGGATTCCCCTTCGTTGGATTTCAAGCCTGCTGAAATTTCAAAAAAAAAAAGGGAGAAGACGAATAAGAACATCCTGCTCGTATTTATTTGGGTGTGTGTCGGGTGCACCGCGCGGTTGTACCGCTGTTAGTATTATTATTGTTATACTAGTATTTTCTTTTGCGTGTGCGAGTGTGCGGCTTTCCGAAACGCACCTCCACGGTAGCGTCACGAGGTTGTCCCTGCAGTGGGTGTGTGGGGGTGTGTGATGTACGTGCGGTGGTGCATGTGAGGTCTTTTCCTTTGTGTTCACTCTTGCCACGAGGAAGTAGGAGAAAGAAACACGCATGAGGGGTACTGTAGTCCTCGAATGGGCAGCCGTACGCACACGCACACAGGCCCCACACACCGACAAGAACAATGGCACATATACAAATATATCTTTATATGAATATGAACGTGCTGTATACACTAACAGAAAGGGAGAAAACGAATACCACCCGAGTTAGCCGACAACACAGAGCAAGACAGGTTTTTTTGCCTCGCTTCTCTCTTTGTGTCGTTGTGCTCTTGTATCGTAAAAGAAAGAAGGGAAAGCGGCGCGAGGGTGGAACACACGCGTAGGCCGCCACAGAGGAAGAAAGAAAAAGGGAGAAAAGAAAAATTGCAGTGAGGCAGCACCGTTTAACGAACCGGAGAAGTCGAAGGACAAAAAGGAGAAGAGGAGAAAAGGAGAAAAGGCTGATAGCGGTCATTGCAGTGCGTGGAGGATGAAGTAGAAATGGATAACAGCAACGATAAAAAAGGAGAGGGAGACACAGGACGGGTTTTTTTTGTTGGTGGTAGTGGTGGGTTACCTGAGAAGGAACAGGATGTATCTAAGAAATACCACGAAGGAATAAAAAAAAAAGGACATGCAATCTAATTGAATCATAAACACTCGCCAAAGAAGGAGGAGGCAAGGTTTGTGTGTGTGTGTGTTTTCTTTGTTCAGGCAATCACACACTTTTCAGATAACTACATATGAATGCGTTCGACACAACAGAAGCTCACGCAAGCCAACCTGCTTTCTTTTGCTTCTACATTTCGTGAGTCGAACCGACGCAAAGAAAGGGGGAAAAAATGAGGGCCACTGCGTGTGGGAAGAGGCACCAACATAACGGCGATAGGAGTAAACAAAAACGGATGACAAGCAGCTTCTTTGCCTTGATCGTTGCCAATTTCCTCCTCGTACATGCAGAAGGAAACATGCGTGTAAATATATATTTTTTTTGAAGGCGAGAAAGAAAGAGGCTCGCAATCCTAAACTTGCCAGCTTCGAGAAAAAGAATAGAAGAATCGAGAGGTGCAAAGAGTCCGAGAGAGATGCATTAGCTGAGACATGATTCCACGCTCCATACTCGCGATGAACTTCCAACATATTATATATTCACCCCGCGCAGCGTCCCGCTGCCAAACTTACTCCCTACAACGTCAGGGGACGATGGTGCACTGGACTTGGCGATTTCCTTTTTTCCCATTTTTTCTAATTGGTGGCACTGCTAACGAAGTGGCAAACAAGGGTGGTTGAATTGGTTAAACCCAAGGATCCCTGTCGTGGTGGGCAACCACGGGGGTGGGTGGGTGGAAAAGAAAAAACTCAAAAGTTGTGTGAGAACTTTGGTTCTGCAAGTTCCAAAGATAAGGAGAAGAAGAAGAGCGAGGGAGAGTAGTAGAGGTAGAAATCATGTCATCAGCAAACGTCGGAGCCATTGCTCCTCATCCTCCTCGTATCATTCTTACTCTTTTCATCATTCCATTCTTTTCGTAAACTATCAAAAAAAAAGGAAAAAGTACAGAAGAACTCGTTGGACACCTCCGGCGAAGTCGACACATACACACACAGACAGACACGAAAGAAGAAGAGAGAAGCAGGACAGCTGTAAACATTTTTCTAAAGAGGCCCCTGCTGCTAGTAAAAGACAGCGCCAGCAGGAATCAAATAGTACCAGCCATCCACATCCCAGTGAGAAGAGAGAAGAAAAGAGAAAAGTGGCGCCGTCAAAAACCGCAAGAATGCGGATACAGACACCTCTCGCACATTCGTATGAGAACACTCAAAACGTTAAACACAAATTGCGATAAGCATAACAACACCCCTACGCCGCAGCTGTACTTCTCCTCCAGTCCTTCCATTCCTTTCGCTAGGTGCGGTATGTACGTGTCCGTTGCAAAGCCTCATCTTCACCTGTTGGAGTGCATGAGTGGCCGGCCTTGCTGCGGAGCATGCTGCGGAGCATGCTGCGTCGCTGGTCTTCGTGGAATGTGAGGAGCGCTTGAGCCCGCCGCCAACGGCTGCTGCTGCTGTTCCTGCTGCGGCGGCGGTCATGGTTGATTCTCGGCCCCGCTCTCTATCGCCTGCGCACTCGCCGCCAAGTCCGCCACAAGGGAAGACGGCGTGTGCTTCTCTGGCACAATCGACGGCTGCTGCAACGTTGCTTTCCCGATTCTGCCCTCCTGCTCGACGGGAACCGGCAGCGTCTGCCGCGCGCTCACCGCCGTACTCCTTGTCGAAGTAAGAATGGGGGCCTCCGTGCAGGCCACGTTCGTCACCTCCGCGGCACCCTCCGTCTGACCGGCGGTCCGGCCTTCTCCGATGTCGGGAAAAATAAAAACCGACGCGCGGGTGGAGCGCGGCGCCGGCTCCCCCGAGTCGTCATCTGCCGCCGCAGCCGCAGCCGCAGCATCTTCGAGGGATGCCACGATGCCGGTCCCACCGCTCGCCGTGCCGCGGGACGCTGCGAGCTCCGGTGCAAATGTCGGCGTGCCGTGTCCCGAAGCTTGCGTAGAGAACATCCGCGGAGGTGGAGGTCCTCCGCCGCCGCCGCCATCATCGACAGCATCACCACGCAGTAGCAGCAGCGTCTGCGGTGGCTCCGCTGCCGTCGCTGCCCGCTGCCTCCGCTGACGCCGCTGCTGCTGCTCGTGGTAGTGTTGGAACTGACTTAAAGTCAGAGCGGTGGAGAGGTCGACGCTTCGGGTGCGCAGCCGCGCCTGTGCCGTGGTGAGAGGCGTGGAGGCGGCATTCGATGTGGCCTGCAGCTGCGGAGGCGAGGGGCCGTCATCATCATCATCATTCTTGTTGGTCGTCGTAGTCATCGTTGTATTCGCCGTAGCCATCGTCGGTGTGCGGTACGCGACGGCGTAGGGTCCTGCAGCGGGCACGGTCACCGCGCTCGTCGCCGACGCGTTCACGAGCGCCTCGACGTCGTTGGAGGGGCGTCGGTGGGGCACGCCGGTCGAGACGTGGGCGCCGATCTCGTTGACGCTTTCCTGGAAGTTGAGGCCGCTGTGGGTGACGATGGAGGTGCGAGGGAGGCATCGCTGCTGCGGCGGCGGCGGCTGTTGCGTTGGGTGTATTGCGGGGGACGTGGAAGGACTTTGCGTTGAGGGGAGCGCCGCCGTAATGCCGGCCTCATAGCTTATCGTCCTTCCAGCTGTCCCGTCGCCCTCCGCCACCGCCGCCACCTCTGCTTCCATGTCGACGTCCGCCCCGGGTGGACTCACCGCCAGCAGGAACGACGCCTTCACCGGCGGCGCCGACGCCACGTCAGGTATGGGCAAAGAAAACGGAAGGAGCGAAGAGAGCGTGGTCAAGTCATCCTGGCCCTGCGAAGCGGAGCGCGTAGACGACGACGGTGCGGCTTCTGGGTTGTTGTGGGTGGGAGGCTTCCCCGCCGCTGCCACGGCCGCACGCTCGGCTACCGTCACGGCCTTCAGCGTCCACCCAATCGGCACCCCGTTGCGCGTCTCCACGCTCCACATCTTGCTGTCCACATCACTGCCCGCGGTGGTGGCCGCGGTGGTGGTGGTGCCCGCGACGTGGGCGTCGGCGCGGATGGCGGCTGTTGCGGCTGCGGCGGTGGTGGATGTCGCGATGGCCGATCCTGTGGAGACTGGAGAGAGGGGTAGCTGGCCCGGATGGAGCAGGGGGTGAGCAGGGCATCCGCCAGGTGCAGACACCAACCAGGGAGAAGCGAGTTCGATGTGGTCTTACTGGTCGGCTGCAGTGGGTTCATGGCATCCGCCAAGGACAGCGCAACAACGGAGAGGTGGGGTGGGGGCTTCGTGGGTGGCACTACATCTGCCGTCACCGGCGTGCGGTACGACGAGGACCTTGCTCGGTGCGACAACGAGAATAGCGTACTTTGCCCGGCGGTGGGAGTCGTGGTGGTCGGCGAGACGGACACGACTGGTAGTGTTGCTGCTGCGAATGGCAGTGGTGGTGATTGTCCATGTGCCCTCGCCGCCGCTTCCACAAAGGCAGAAATGTCGAGGTTTGCTACAGTCGTGGTGGTGGCGGCCGTCGTCGTCGTCGTGGTTGGCGGCGTCGGTTTTAACGTGGCTGCCTGCGGTTCGCGGGGCGACTGGATGGCGTCGGCTGGGAAGGCAGAAAGGTTGTGAGAAGGAGCCGGGGGCGCCAGTGGCGGTCCTCCGCCACTCCCTGTTCGGCTGTTCACCAACGCGGAGGTGGTGGTCAGGCCGGTCGGTGCAAGCGGTGACCACAGCAACGCTGTCCCCTGCGAGTGCGACGGCGGAAGCGGCGGCGGCACGACGACCACCCCCTGCCGGGCGGGGTTCAACGGCGTCGCGTCGCGATCACGATCGATGTCGGGCCGCGGTGGAACGTCAAAGGTGCCGCCTCTGCGACGGGGCGTCGAGGACACCGCCGATGGCGGTGGCAGCCGCTCCGGCAGCGGCGGCGGTTGAAGGACGTGGGGGGTGCGAGTAAAACCAAATGTGCTGCTCAACAGCCCAAACACACCCGATGTGTTTCTCGCCGTGGTCGTCGCCGCAGTAGCAGTTGCTGTGGCAGTTGCAGGAGGAGGAGAAGCAACGGCGACGGCACCTGTCATCGGCGCCGTGGTGCGCGAGGAGGTCTGTGGAGACGCCGGCCGTCGGCGCGCCGCCGGGGACGTGCTGATCGAAGGTCTTCGTGGCTGGTGCTGCTGTTGATGCCGTCGACGCCCCTGTGGTGGTGGGGGAGAAGTGGGCGAGTGCGGAGGGGAAGCGCAGGGCCACGTTTGGGCTTGCCGTTGGTCATCCACCACAGAAGCGTGGTGTTGATGCAGTTGCTGCGGTGGCGGTGGTGGCGGCAAGACAGGTCGCGGTGTGAGAGCCAGACGATCGGGGTAGGGCCCCAGCATCACCACGGACACCGTCCCATCCTTTCGCACACCCATAAAGACACTGCAGTCGTACACGTCGTAGCCGTCGCTCGTCACGGGCAGACTTCGCCGCAGCATCGCCTCTGGCGGGACGCAGAACGGCGCTGCGGCGGCTTCATCGCTGCGGCTCGCCTCTCCGACTCTATTAGACGAGCCGAGCCATTGAAACACGCACGACGCGGACGTCGCGCCGTGGTCCGCGTCGAGGGCGATTGCAGGATTCTCGCAATCGGTGCTGGAGCGAGGGGCTGGTGTGTCCAGCGGGAAGGAAGGCGCGGCAGCCAGGGGAGTGCGTCGGGTTGGGCCGGCCGAGCGCTGTGGATCATGGAAAGCACCCGCAGCACGGCGGTTTGGTGTGCCTCTTCCTCCTCCTGCGGAAGCCATTTTTCCCTCCTCTGTGATGCCGACGGCGGCCACGGTGTCACGCACGGCTACTGACGAAGTCTCCGCGGACGGTGTGGCGGTGCCGGTCAGCTTTGCACGAGCAACGTTCTTCGGCGTCGACACCGCCGTATCGAGCAGCGGCACATCGAACTGGAGATGTCGGTGCGCGTGTTCTATCGGCGGTGGCGGCTGCAGCGCTTGCCGTGACAGTGGTGGCTGATCGAGATAATCGACGGCTTGGATCACGTGCACGACCGCACCCGTCGCCGCATCGAGTTCGCTGGCCAGCACATTCACCTGCAGTGGGCTGGACGACGCCGGCGTGGCAGCACCAGAGGAGCTGATCGTTGGCGGCCGCGAGAAGTCGCGCGGACGCACCCAGTTCACACGATACGTCCTGCCCGTCGCGGCGTCGGCCTTGAAGTAGCCCCCGCCCCCGCCACGGCACATTTCGGTGTCGTCCCAGCCCGGCACCGGCACCCACTCAATCAGCGGAGCGAGGCCATCGACGGAGTTGTGCAGGGCAGTTGCGGTGGCGGTGGAGGCGACGCGCAGCAGCGGTGGCGGGTAGGCAGTGGGTGCCGCGTTGAATGAGAGCGTGTCCGAGGACGGCAGTCCAGAGAGGAATGCTCGACCCCCAACAGGAACACAAGAACCAGCGACGACGGGACTCGGGGGGACGTCTGCACCGCGGCAGCAGCAGGAACTTTGCTCTCTTCTTCTCCCTCCGCATCGCTGTTGTTGTCTGTTACTTTGCTCTGTTGTCGCTGCGGCTCACCGCGCTGCGGCTCCGCCACTATCGGCGCGGCCAGAGATGTCGTCGCTTCGGTGCCCTCCACGTTGAAAGATTGTGTGACATCAACACGATGCGTGGAAGTGGGCGCTGTCTCCTGAGCTGGCGTGGGCTCGTTCAGCGCAACCAGCGGTGCCGGCATGGCTCCCAATACTCCGGCAACACGGGAAGAAGAAGAAAGAGATGGCAGACCAGCGAGGGTCGAAAAGTTAAGGTGCACCCACTGTGGCAAGAAGGAGCGTGTCGTGGTCGTGTTCTTGACGGACGGCGTGACGAACGGCGCGCGTGGTAGCACTGTGGCTGCACCCTCCCTTATTCCTGCTCCGCCACCGCCGATGCTGCCGTTGCTGCTGCCTGCGGCATTATTAGCCGTAATGGTGGTGGCCGTCTTCGTAGTAGTAGTGGCCGCTGTGGCGCGTGGCAGCGGTGGTGGCGATGGTGGTGGTCGAGGTGGAGACGAATGCGCCGACGGCGTGTACGGAAGAGCGCCGGTATGTGTTTGGTGGGGTGGCGACGAGGGCTGCCGCTGTTGCGGTCGATGCGATGGAAGGGGAGGGCCGAGGCTGCCAGTGCCGCTGGACGACGGTGGCTTTTGCGGGGAGGTGGAGGTGCTGCTGCCAGACGCGAGTTGAGGCAGGCGCTGCGGAGAGTCGGGCAGAAGCTCGCCCGTGCGTGACCTGTGCGCCCGCGGGGGTGGCGTGTTGGAAGGCATTTGCCACTAGCACTAAACAAAATAAAGAATAAAAACTAATAAGGTGTAAAGTGTGATAATATATAAATATAAACCAACGCTGTCAACACACCTTTGTGAATCTAACCTGCGAAACAGAAGACAAACTTCTTTTTTGTTGTTGTTCTGCAAGCGTAAGGGGAAAATGGGGAAATCGGGGAAAACGGGGAAAACGGAAAAAGATCTAATAATAATAACATTAAGAAGAAGAAAGGGGCGGACACTGGCACCGCTAATGGGAAGGAATATTTTAAAAATATATATATTTGCGGAGAGACCGTGCCGTCTGCTTTGCTGCTGTTTCTGGTGAGTGGTCGGCTGGAATACAGGCTTCTATAATAATAATAACAACAACAAATAGAAAGGTTGACAAAAGGGTAAATGCGCAAAATGTAAACTACAAAGAGAAGAAAAAAAAACACGAACACGCACTGGAGAAAAGAAAGGAACGTCGCGTAGAATTGCAAATGAAGAAAAACTTTTCTGTTGTTGATGTTGATGATTGATTTATTTATATTTATTTGTGGTACAGTGAAAAGGATGGAGAAGACACGACGATGACACAACAAACACACGCACAACAGAACGGGGAGAGAGTAAAAAAAAAACAGGGGTGGAGAAGGGTTCAATAGCGCAAACACAGACACTATAAGGGGTTGGATTTAATATGAGTATATCTATATCTAAGCACAGAAGAAAAGAGAGCAAAAAACACACCGGAATGCGGACGATTACTATTATTAAAAAAGAATAAAACGAAATGAGGAGTCCAAAACACAAAACGGTAAATCACAAGTTGACGAACCACCCTCTAATGCTCAAGAAACACAAAAAGACAGGAGGAGTAACAACAGAAAATAGAGATATATAATAACAATAATAATAATAAAGCAAAATAGAAGGGGAGAGAAATCGAAGGAAAATGACAGGTTGAGACTCGTGCTTGGTGAGAAGCCTATGATGGGGCAGCTACAACACACCACAGACACACACACACACAGACACAACGGAACTTCCTTGATAAAGAGAGAGAGAGGCCTCACTGTATACGGACAAATCCAACGAAAGGGAAAAAAAAGAGAAGATAGTAACAAGGACAATAGCAATACCTTCGTGTCAGTAGGACTGAAGGTGCAGAAAACGAAAAGTTGGACAGGTACATGTATGCATACGTACTTGCACACGCGCGAGCGGGTTTAATTCGCTCGATGAGAAGAGACGAATCGGAGCTTCCTCGAAGAGCCAACCTGCGTGCTCTCAAATATAAAAACAAAAGTCAAGGATTTGAATGCGTAAAGCCACACAAGAAACAAAACAAAAAAAAACTCGAAGAGCATATACAAGGAAATGCTGAAGTGAAGATAAAATGGGGGTAAACCAAACAACCTTAAGAGAGACTGGGCACAGGTAACACCACGAATGGGAACAACAAAGGAAGGGGAAAATATATATGGAGGGAGAGACAAACGTGGGGCTATTGGGGCGGGTACTGTGTGTGGCTTTGGCGTACTGTCTTATCCTGTATGTAGCAGGCTTGTGCAGCTTCAGCCTCGTGATTCAAACGGGCAAGAACTAAAGGGCAGAGAAAAAAAAAGGGAGGGGAGGGGGAGAATGAGGTGCCTATTTCAGAGCAGGATGAACACAGCAAGAGAAAAAGAAAGTCAAGAGAGTCAAGAAAGTGCGGCGGCTAACAAACAATGAAAAGCGTTTACCGGCGCGCCGGAGGGAGCCAAGATTGCGGAAACGTGAGAGGATGGAGAACGGTAGCGGAAGAGGAAGTATCCGGGGAAAAGAAAAAAATGTCACAAAAAAAGGGAAGAAAGAAATCAAACCGCACCGCAGCCTTTACACCGAGGAATGCTGACTGTGAGATGCGAAAAGAGAGCACAAACAGGAAGGAAGGAGAGACACAAGTGGAGAGGCAACAGAAATCGCGAACCATAGAAGGTAGCGCCGACGTCGAAACAGGGAGAGAGAAAAAGAGAAGACTATAGACGCCCTTCTGCGAGAATGTAAAAAGAAAAAATGACAGTTCAAACCTCACTCAACGTACCAGGAAAGGGGAAAAAAAGAAGAAGAAGAAGCCGCACGCTGAAAGACAGAGAAAAGGGGAAAAGGAATTAGTGCGTGTGCGGGTGAGTGGGTGTATGTGCGCCAAAAATGGAGGGGAAAAAGACGAGAAGAGGTGCAGAGAGGGACAGAGAGGGCAGAGAAAGAGAAGGAGCAGGGGCGTCTGCGGGATAGCAGAAGAGGAAAAAAATAATTACTATTGTTTTTTGAAGAAGCAGTTGATGTGTATCTTACACACTCGCACAGGACACCAGAAGTGCAGTCGACCCCACACGCATGCAGAGTATGTATGTATAAAACAAAACAAAAAGCTGTAAACGTGATAACGCATGCGTGACGGGAAGAAAAGGAAAAAGAACAAAGAAATGTGACACCGTTGTCGGGAATAGCAAGAAGTAAAAGTCCAAAATGAAGAGAAGAAGACGAGGGAAGAGATGAAAAATGAAGATGATGAGATGAAATGAAGTCACCAAAGTGACTCGAATGACCAGGCAAGAATCACTGGTATTCGATGTGGCTGACCCATACCCACAGTTCGCTGCTCACGCGAGATGTGGAAGAGAGGAAGAGGGGTAAAAAGATGAAATGGGAAGACAGATTCCATTCAACCACCCCGTAAAAGATAGAAGTCCCGACAGTCGAAGCTCAACAAGTCCTTTTTAAATATTTTTCTGCTCGTTTTCTTATTATCATTATTATTCTGATTTGCCTTCGATATTACGATAGAAATGAAAACAGAAAATATTCTTGTTTACGTTTTGTATGCCAGAGAATAACGCAAAGGTAACAGTTTTCATTTTTGCTCTTTTCTCATTTTCCCCATTTACCCACCTGTTGACGACAGGGGTCGCCGACTCGCAAAGCATCAAACGCTCGTCACCTTCCTTTACATCTTTTCTTTGAGCAAGTCAAAAGGAGCGGAGTCGGCATGTCCTCAATCTGCGTGAAGGAGAGAACAAAGAAAGGCTTTGTGGATCAAGATAATTTATTTTTCTTATTTTCCTTTTGCTTTGTGTTTTACTCCCATTGCTCTAACGACTTTGCAGGCTATCTCTCTACTCATTTGCCTTGATGTACTCCACTGGAAGAGGCAGTGCGCGCAATCTCAAGACAAATACATGATACTCTAGCAAAAGAAGAGCGCAGAGATGTTATTATTATTCTTTACTCGCTTCTCTCTTCCACGCTGCTGTGGTCCGCGTTACATATTATTATTATTCTTATTCTTCGGTGTGGGTGAGAGGTTGCACCAACAACAAAAAGCTACCACTAACGCCATTGGTAAACAAAAGAGAAAAGAAAAATAAACGATTCCGTGGATCAGATATGGAGGACTTGCACCACTGCAACTGTATCTTGATCATTATTGGAATACGAAATGGTCGGTAAAGGAGGAGCAAAGGCTTCAAAAAATATTATTTTTTTTTTCAAAAATCATGTGACTGACAACTATTTCTCTTTCCTTTCCCTATTTGTTGTCACTGCGAAAAGCAAAGCAGCCTCGAAAAAGTATTGGGGCTTCCCATCCCACAGAGATAATTCTCAAAAGACAGTACAAAACAGAAAGTGAGAAAAAAACAAATAGTAACAACGCGCTCGTGCAAAAGAAAAGGTGCGGTTGTTGGAGTTCAATAAGAAGAGAATCGGTAAAGAAAAAGATAAGATAAGAAACATAACAGCGAATTCGCAGTCCTTGTTGGGGCAGTGTCGTTCCCCTCCCCTCCCACTGCACGCCGTATAGAAGAATCATATTTGCGGCTGTTTGTGCTGTTTTTGGGGGGTGGGGGTTGGGGGGCGGACGAGCAACCAATCGAGCGACGTGGTGAGGGGAGAAAGAAGAAAAAAGGAGAAAGAAAAAACTTATTTCCTCTCATTCCCTCCTTGAAATGCCGTCAAGATGGAAAATAATAAAAAGAAAAGTAAATCTGTTAATGTATTTCTGTATAAAAGGGACCCCAACTCACAGAGATCGAGTACGTAGGAGCCAATAACCAAAAAAAAGTCTCTTTTATGCAAAACCAACACGGAACAATACGAAACGAAACACACAATAAGGAAAATTGGAAGACAGTACCGAATGCAAAAAAATAAAAGAGGCTTTTGTGATAGGGGAGAGGGTGGTACAACGCTTGAGTGCAACCACGTAACCGTACAGCTCATCCCTCTCATTAAAGTGTCTTTAATTACAGAGTGAGCATCATCCACTTAGAGTAACTTGAGGAAAATAGCAGAGAAAGGGTTGTATGACCAAAAATGTCGAGTATAATACAGCTCCCTTTCAAAGAGGTTTAAAAAGTAAACGTAGAGGTGAATAAAAACAAAAGCAAAAATAACGAAACGCTTTCTCTTTTCTTTTTTTGAAGTGCGCTAGGGAAGCGGGTAGCTGTCTACTTCGGCTTTCCTTTCAAAAAAGAAATTGGCTAACCGCTTTGGCAAGGGAAGAAAAAAAAAATGAGATCGAGAGAAGAAAACCTACGCAACGCGTACATCCTTCCACAAAAGAGAAAAGAAGCGGAGTCAACAAAATACATATATATATGTATATATATGTACATTACCTTAAGCTATCTGTTTTACTCACGGTGGCACAAAAGTCATAGCGGTCATAAAATAAATCTCTTCTCTTTTTACATATATATATATATATATATTACCTCTTGCCTCCCTCAGACCTCCGTGGATATCCGATGAAAAAAAGAAAAAAGGAAAAAAGGAAAATATATCGAATCTATTGTGTTCATCTCTCTCTCTCTCTCTGTGTTGGTGCTCACGCGGTGCTTTACTAAAAAAAAAGGCAAAAGAAAGGCTACTTTGTGTGACTGTAGGCTTTTTTGTTGTTGCTGGGGAAAGCACTCACAATGCAAGAGAAGCGCTGCGTGGTGGAGCGCATGAGCATTTCGCGTTTCTCGATATCACACAGGCACACAGGCACACACGACGACAGCTGAACATAGATTAAACACAAAGACGAGAGAGACATGGAGGAGACGAAAAGAAAAATAATAACAATAAGCGAACAGACTAGTGGGATAACGCACGCGACGTCTGAGGATTAAGCGACCTATAACGCAGAAACGTGCCTTGAGCACGAAGAGACAGCAAGCCAGCGCAACACACAACGCTGCAAGCGGGAGGGGTGAAAAAAAAAGAGGGGGCGAGAGACAAAGTTCATTTGATCAACGAAGAGCGCAGGTCTGGATGTCGAGACGGTTGCAAAGCATGCTTCCAAGCACGGAGAATATACACGTTTCTTCTCTGTGTGTGTGTGTGTGTGTGGTTTACATATATATATGCATGTAAACAGCATGCATGTGCATTAGCGTAAGTATTTGCACCTACGTCCGTTATACACGAACCACGGCGTAGCACGGCGACTGTGACGCGTGCCCACCGCCGCTGAAAGACCGGCTCTGCAGATCGCCACCGCGGTGTGGCACCGCGCCGTGCCCGCGGCATCACGCAGGAGACGACGGTCGCCAGCCGTACTGAAAGGTGCGTGCAATGGCCGTGTAGTCGCACCCCGACACCGTCGTCCCGGACCCCGGCGAGCGCGACCCCGCGACGTGGCGCGCGCTGCGAGAGCGGCGGCCGCGCCGGCCCGCCCGCTCCTGGATGCGTGCGGTGAGGTCGGCCACGTAGCGGCTGCGCTCCGACACACACGCCTCCGACATGTACGCGGAGATCACCGGGTCCGTTTCTTTCTCATCCGCCTCCGCCTCCACCTCCACCTCTTCCGCTGCTGCAGCTCCGGCGGTTTTTCCGACCCCAAACCGCAACTCGCGCGACGTGTTCGGGTCTTTTACGAGGTGCGGCATCAACCGCAGCGAGGTCGCCGACACCAAGCGGGACCGCAACTTCTGGCACGCCGCGGAGAGTCGCTTCTGATACGCCTCTTCGCGCCAGCAGTGCGCCATCACATTCGGGTTCGTCAAGGCCATTTCGCCTCCGCAGAAGTGCGAGAGCCGATGCTGCTGCTTGGTGTCCCTCACGGGGAAAGGGGCGGTGGCGGTCATAAAAAAATCGCCGTCGTACGGGATACGCTGAGGTGGGAGGTTTTGAATCGACATTTCAAGTATAAAAATAGATTCCTTTGCATGTGTGTGAAACTGGAAAATAAACAAAGCGTGCAGAAGCTTTTCTTCTCGAATATTATTATTATGACAATTATTCTTTTTGATGAGAGGGAGAGAGGAATCCCTTCTGTGTAGGCGAGAGCGAATGCTTTCTTACTCTGCTACGTTTGTGGAGTTAAACTCGTGCGTAGTGTAAGAAAGCCGCCGTCTGAACGAGCAATCTGAGATCTTTTTCGTTCTGGAAAAAAAAAGTGCAAGAGAGAGAGAAATAAAAAGAACAAAAAAAGGAGCTTTAAATAACAATATATATATAAATAAAAAACCAAAAGAATACGTAGTACCTCAATGAACCAATCTTGAAACGTGTTGACAATTTGAGGAAAAGCGAAAACAAAAAAGCAAGAAAAAAGGGTATCTTACAATCAGAATGCAAAAGAAAAAAACAGAAAAGAGCTGAATGTTTTTGAATACCGCTCGTGGCTCAAATGCCCTCCGTTACAAGTATTCTTCTGCTGTTTCCTTCGCGCGCGGGAGCGAAAGGAGTGAAGAGACCGTAGAAATAAGAGAGAGAATCTGCTTAATGGTGTTTTGAGCCGGCATTGAGGAAAAACAAGAAAAAGGCGTCCAGGACGATCAAATGTGGAACGGAAAGCGGCGAAACAACGGTGGCAAGTGAAAGAAGAAAGAAAATAAAAGGAAACTCTTTTGATTCGTTTTGCTTGCCCGTTGTATTATCGCTTTTCGAAAAAAGAAGGGAAAAAGAAGGTTTACACGACAAAGACGAAAGCACAGGCGCAGAGAGGAATACTTATTTAACTCTGTTGAAAGGGTACAAGCGCGGAACGAACCGGGAAAGTTGTGGAAGACGTCACCGCCAAAAACCCCACAAAGTAGTTGAGAGAAGAGAGAAGAGAAGGGGAAGAGGAAGAGCGATTTAACAGCGGACGTCATTCCTCCTCAGCATCAAGAAACATACGATGTGTCCTAAAAAAAACCAACAAAATACATTCGTTAGGAGAAAGCGGGGTGTAACGACTGCATTCCGCCCCAGCCCATTCTTTCTCCCCAAGCCTACTGAATGAAATAGCCTATCAGCAATCTCCATAAGCCTACATATTCTGAGAGGCGTACGGCTGCTCAAAAGATGGCAGCGAGAAGAAAGACTCAACGCTGCCACTGTGGTTTTTCATTTTATCAGACAGTTCTTTCCTCAACCATTTATTTACTATTGTTTTAGGTATTTGTTTTTGTGTTGGCGCTTGGGTGTTCGCGCTTGCGGCTCATTAAGTATAGAGTTGAGTAATTCTTTGAAAAGGGAAAAAAAAACACTGTTTCCATCACGAATAGCAGCACTTCATCAGAGACGAGGCGTTCAATGTTGACAGTTTGAAAAGAAAGGGCATTACCTTTTCTTCCCTCTGCAAAACACAGCACGTGTAAACGCCCACATCTACACTTTTGGGGCTTGAAAGTTCAAGCTCAGCGCAAGCAGTGATTGCAGCGAAAAAAAAAAGAGAATAGAGCCGATCAAGAATTTCATAAAAGCCATATGCGCTCAAAGCCGAAGAGTATAACACGCGATAGAGCACTGTTGTTGTTTTCTTCTTCCTTTTTTTGTTTTATCTTCCACTCGGAACAACAAACCACAAAAAAAAAGTGACGCATGAAACTTGAAAAACCGCGTAGGTTGTCGAGAACGTGCACTTCTTACTGGATGTTACCGTAACGATGTGATGAGCGCTTGTTGTATTTGGTTATAGTGTCAGTTGAAGTAGCCAAATAAGAATAATCGTAATAGCAATGATACTAATAACCTCTGCGTCAAGAAAAAAGAACGAAAAGTTGCTTTTAGCAGTAGAAGAAGGAGAGAGAGAGAGGGAGAGAGGGGGGGAGACAAGAAAAAGGAAAAAAGAAAAGGCTGCGGCGAATTAGTATGCGTGACTTCACAGCTCTTCATTCCATCATAGAAAAGGCATATATATATATATATTATACGAGTAGTGGGTCTTCCTGTTTTCGCGCGGCAGTGGCGACACCATCAGAGACGGGGAAAAGGGAAAAAAAAGTTCATCATACCGCAGCGTAAATTTGTACTGGCTATCAGTAATAGTTGGGTGAACAGAGCAGAAAAGAAAAAGGTCACAAATACTAGTACGTATGTGACGCAACGGAGAACACTCTTTTTTCAAAACTTAAAAAAAAAAATAAAGAGGGAGTGAGAGCAGCTTTCGCGCAACTCAGAAGACCTATGAAACTGGGAAGCAACAGAAAGAGAGAAAAATAGAGAAAAAGCAAAACCAAAAGGATGGATGGAAGAGAAACTACATACTTTTTATGGGCTTTTTATATGCGAAGTCCACAAGGAGGAAACACGGTGGAAATGAATGAATAGGTCGCACATAGTCAAAAAAACCAGTAGTGAGAATTATAAGAGAAGGCGCAAAAAGTGAAGGAAAAGCCAGCAACAATCAACGAGCGTACGTGGGTGACGGAATAGGAGAGAGAGAGAGGATGGAGAGAATATATACATATGTATATACATAAATACATATATGAAGGATATAAGCATGACAACAATAGCAGCAAAAACCGCTGGCCTCCACTACGCGCGTGCGTTCCGATCGTCCTCCCTTGGCGACTTCCCTTGTGGTGCTTTCAACGAAACAGGCTGCTCCTTGACCAAAAGCTCCGCCGCGGTTGGCAGTGGAGGGGACGGCAAGTTTGCCATTTTGTGTGCCACATCAATCAGAGACTGTTTGTAGAAAGAGGTGTCCTCGCGGAGACCCGGCTGCGGCTGCGCTGCCCACTCCATGTGGCTCAACGCCTTGACGATAGAGGTGACCGACTGCTCTTTCTCTGCGTGTGCGTGGCTGGCCCCTAGCGTCCGCGATGAGGAAGAGGCACGGGCAGCGAAGGCCATGGCGGGGAGGTGCTGCAGCTCCAGCGGAAGCCCCGCCGCAGACCGCTCCTCGATGGTGTGTAGCGATGACCCGGATTTGTGCGGGGACGGCGCATCCGAGCTGAGCCTCACGTCCATCGGCGAGAGCAGCGACGGAGCGTCGAGGCTGGTCTCACTGCCGCGGAACCACCGCATCGACAACACGCGCGGCTGCAGCGCCAGCGACGACCCACTCGTCTCTCCCGTTGAGCTGGCGCGACGATTCGTGATGGGGTGGGACACGGACAGCCCCGGGTTGCTCACGGCGGAGAGGATAAAGTCCGTGCCCTCACTGGAGAGGGCGGCGGGCAATGTCGTGGTCGTGCTGGTCGTCATGATGTTCACCAGCACCGCCTTGCGCGGTGGCTCGTGAATCGAGGAGTTGTTCGACGCGTTACTGCCCGCCACACGCGGTCGTAAGAACGACGCTCGCGTACTCGCAGGCGGTGGGTCGGTCGACAGCATGGAGGGCAGCAGGACGGCTGCGGAGGATCGCGTGGTGGGAAATGGAGGGAGATGCGGGGCGGAAACGTCGCTGGTGCTCGTATGGACGCCGCGCCCGCCCCCGTCGACAGCTCCGGAGAGGAAGAAGCATTGTGGACCTGGCGGTCGTCGCCCACGCCCTTTGTTGGGTCGCTGCACCGCCTCCATCACGCTGGTCGCGGCAGCGGCTTGTCGGGCGTCGGTGCCGTAAAGCGGCAGCAGCGCGTCGGACGGCGGCGAAGGCAGCACCGGCAGAATGCAGCAGCACACGTTGTCACCTTCGCTCGCGACGGTAGTGGAGTTGCGGGGCGTCGAGGCAGACGACGCGCGGGAAGACGCCTCCGCTGAAACGTGTGCTGGGCTGCGGCGCTCCGGCGTCCTGTGGAGGACGGCGTCGGGCAGCAACGGCGCGGTGATGATGGTGGTGAGGGAGGAGGCCAACGGAAGCGGAGCAGCAGGCAACGAAAAGGACGCGGTTCGTGTGAGTAGCCCGGGGGTCGGGCTCCCATTGCGCGGCACCTCGTCCAGGCCATCCTTAATCCACTGCACCGTACTGTTGGACCGATTCACCGGTGTCGCCGACTCCAGTGGCGCCTTCGTCTCTGTGTAGAAGACGGCGCTGTCGGTGGGGGAGTTCAGCGGAGCCATGGTGGCGGTGTGCTCCGTCGTCAAGCTGCTCTCTCCAGAAGTCTGCGCCTCCAGCGACAGCGGCGATGTGTGCGAGCTCGGCCGGGCACCAGCAGCAGCGGCAGCGGGTGTGCATACGGGCTGCGGCGTGTGAAAAGGTGCCGCCGTGAGGGCCAACACGTTCGGCGCGTCAAGGCGCAGCAGCCGCTCCCTCGGGCCCAGCGCGGCGTCCAGCGGGCTGCACCGGGGCAGCGGTGGCCGCAGCACGCACCAGTCCGTCGAGTGACTGCGAAGCCCGCTGCCGTCGCCGTTGGCAGAAATGGGATAGACAGGGTGCCAGTAGCCGTCTCGGGTGGTGATGGCCGCATCGGGCAGTTGTGGAGGTGGTGAGGTGACCCCGCACGCCCGCACAAATCGACGGACCCCTGTCCCGTCCTCCGGCGGTGGGGTGGGCATCATGATGTCTGTGCTGGCCACCCACCTGCCGTAGTGCTCGCTGCCGTTAACGGCACCTACTGCCCTCCCTTCTGAACACCATGGCGCCCTGTGCGGCATGACCGGTGGACCGGCGCTGTCGACACGTACGTTTGCTGATTGCACCTCTTGTCTTGGTGCGCTCATATTTGCATCCTGTGCGTCGTGTCCGTCGTGCGCTACATGACATGGAAGGCGTACTGGATCAGGCGCGGTGGTATCCGGATGTTCAGCACCGAGATGCGGTGTCGCTTGCGCAGAGTCGATGCCATTCGTTAAGAAAGCATGGCGTGCATGGAAAGGTCGGCGGGAAGCGTCCAGCATCCCCTCACCGCTGCTGGTTGTGTCCAATCGCCCCTGCCCACCGTCGCCCACCCTCGAGCACGAATAGTTTTGTGGAGGTGGAGAAGCGGAGGTTGGCAATGGCTGATGTGGATCCGTGGGTAGCCCTGCAATGCGAGGCGGGACGTTCGCTGCGCCTCCGTCCTCCTCGGGCGTGACGTTCCTTATCGCCTTGCTCGCCGCATCGGATGGCAGACCGGGATGGGTGTATAAGCCGGGACTGCCCAGTGGCCGTGGGCGTCGCATGAGTGTTAGTTGATTCAAGACGGTGTTCAGTGGTGCGTTTGGCTTTTTGGTTGTTGTCGTTGCGTCTGCTGATGCAATCACGTCGCGCACCAGATTATTCATGGACAGAAAAGGACGGCAAAGAGAAAGGATACTTGGATGCGGCGAACGAGCTGAGTATAACGGCGAGCTGCTCTCGTATCCCTTTGACCTGCAATCAACAATAACAGGGAACTGGTTGGAACGTAAAGAGGGTAAGAAACAACAGAAGAGAAACAGATTCTATGGGTGGAATGCTGGGCGGAGAAGAAAGGAAAAGGCAGGGACGGAGAACAACACAAGAAATAGTAATGATAAAAGATGCGCAAAGAATCGGGTACGCAGCTTTTTCTAAAACATATATATGTATACAAATTTATTTGGGTGAGCATTAAACAAAAAAAAACGTGGGAGCAGTCAAAATGACTTTACAATTTGCAGAAAGCTCTGTACACGTTCGCACAAACAGGGTGAACTGAAAAAAAAAGCAAAGTAAATATATGTGTTTTACGGGGTACTTCTCCGGATCAAGCAGAGAGGTAGATACGAACGGGCTATGAAAGTGTAAGGTGACTGCAAAGTTTGCAATGAAGCGTCACCGAGAAGAGAAAAAAAGGCAGAGTGAGAAAACAAAAACACAGAATGAAAAACTGAGTGCGTCGGTGAAACGAGTACAATTACACGCTTGGAGGTGGGTGAAATACTCCTACGCAACCCCAGCAAAACGGCGCCTATCGAGGCCTGTATGCCTCGCACCAAAGACCTAGAGAAGCTGGAGAGGATCTGAAAGAGATACGTGAGGAAGACGCTATATATCTTTATCGATGCATACGCATGTATGCATGTTCCTATACGAAATGAAGAGAGTATGAACGTATACGGGGGGAAAAGTTGGAGGTAATCGTCTTACGATTGTAGAGAAGAATATATATGTGTAACAGGAAATAATGGATAACAAGACGGAGAAGGCAAATAAATAGAAAGATAGAAGGTGAGAAAGAAGATGTGTGTTTGAGTCAGTGTTGTTGAAAACCCCACTCTCTGTTTGAGGCTGGGGTTGTGTTGCGACAGAAATGTGCACACGTTCGCTTGGTGTATACCTTGGGCAGCAAACATCTGCTCTCAGTTGTTTAGTAGAAATTTTAAAAAGTGCTCATTTGGACGTTCAGTTCCCTCAGTCCCACACGCAGCCGCTTCCCTCGTGGTGAAAGCGCGTTGAACCGCACCAATAAAACTTTTTGTAGCTTCGTAAGCTCCAGCTTGAAACAGAAAAACGAAAGGTAAGACTGGTCACGGAAGAGTAAACGCAGGTGGCGTGATGAAACCAAAGTAATGGAATGTGAAATAAGGAAACGAAAGAAAGAAAAAGAAACCAGCGATGACATCGGCATTTAAGAGAGAACCCCAAGGACTTGCACAACAAAAAAGTCAATAGGCGTGTAGCAGCATCGCGAAAAACTACTATAAACAGAAAAGAAAGTTACCTGATGTAGTACTTGCCTCTACAAACGATGTCGCGACACTGCTGTTTTTCTCAGTGCAGACTCCGTTTTCTAAGTCGTCTTTTTTCTTCGATCTCCTCGTCTTCATAGAAGCAAAAACCTAACAACAAAGAGGAAGATGTCTATGTTACAAAGCAACGGTTCATAATAATGAAAAAGAAACAAATGGGTGGCCTTGTCTGCCGTTTTGTGAAACGTAAAAAGAACTCAAAAAAAAAAACTCTACAGTAGATCGAAAGCCACGGAGAAAAAAGGAAAAGAATTACTTTCCAATATCTTTAGTGATTTAGACTACTACTGGAAAAAAGAAAAGAACAGAGTTTTTAAACGTTCTATAATCGATAAGAGTAAGAACTTTCCGGCGGCTTTCACAAACACCATACAAGCCAACAACTAACTTTTCGAACGATGCCTCCGCTGTTGATTCGGTTCTTTATTTTATCCAGTACAGAAAAACTTTTCTTTGGCTATCGACTTCTATGCGATGGCTCAAAAGGGAAAAGAAAAGAAAAGAGTATGGTGGAAATGATTGGATTTGATATGAAGAGAAGAATTCACGTTGACAGCACAGTTTCTCTCTCCGTTCTTTACATGATGAATTGACAACAAAAGAGCTATATGAAAAAGTAGTGGAAACGAATGAAAGATAACAGAAAAAAATACCAAAGGTTTCAACGTGAACGCGTCGAACGATAAACAGTAATCAGCTCTTTAAATACACATCTGCTCCTTTTCTTTCTTCATTAATTCACTGTGCCTTGCCATTGGTCAAGGTGCGACTCGCGTCGCAGTATTTCGGATTTCGCTTGGCTGTGTGAAGAACGCCGCGCACGACCCTGTGTAGCATCGCGAAGCATTGGTGAGACAGTGCTGTGACGACGGCTGCCGTGACTTTGTGGTGTCCCAAGTGCCTGCAGAGAGGTTTGCTGCTGCTGCTGCTGCTGTTGGTGAATGATGGAAGTTACTTCGTCAAGACACTTTTCGATGCGACTCAACGCTTTTGTCAAGACCGGACTCGTCGCACAATTGTCAGCGAAAGGAAGCGATGTACCTTCGAGAGACCCGCGTCGAATCGCATCACGATACACTGGCGTATCAGCTGTCACAATGCTGTGTCGTTGCGGCTTAAAGTACCCTGTCATCAGTGCAGCTGTGTCTACACTTATGTTATTCAAGGTTGAAGCATCTCCTCCGCTGCGGTTTTTTAGCCGCTCCTGCTCCTCTATTTGGCGCTCCAGCGCCATGAGGCGTTGCTCTTTTGACAAAAGCCAAACCTGAGAATCCCGAAGAATCAGTAAGTCATGCTCAAGTCCACGAGCCTGCTCCTCCAAGGAGAGGCGCACCTTATTGAGAAGCTGCCCGCGCTTGGAAGAGGAACGAATCCCTTCCGCCTTTGCAGTGAGTACATCTTGTTTCCACTGGTGACGCGTGCGTTTCAGCTGCTGTCGTCGCTCATCAAGGTTTTGTTGCTGCAGTTCGACGTACTTCCTACCCTCCTGTAGACGCCGTCGCTCGCTCTCTACCAAGTTGTGTTGCTCCTGAAACGACAGCGGTAAACTCAACACACCCCCAGACTTGTTCCGATTCCCACTCAATGAAGCTGCTTGAGTGGAAAAGGCGTTCGGAGAACGGAGCTCTGGGGAGGCTTTTGCGGCTGCAGAGGAACTGCTGGCCGCCGGCGTTGGTGGTGTTGCTGGCGTTAGTGGCGCAGTCTGCGACTCTCCGCCCTGGCCGGGTGAAGAAAGAATGAAGGGAGAGCCAGCAAATACCTCACGAAGAGCCTCTGTTATGAGCGTCTTGATATCCTGATGCTGCGATTGTGCGGCAGGTGTTGCAGCCGCGCTCTCATCTCGCAAGGGGTGCGCAAGCAGTTTACTGTTGAGACGCGGCGGCGACAGCTTTGCTCTCTCGGAGCTCTCCTCCTCATCAGTGACACTCTGGGACGAGCTCTTGAGCATTCTTGGAGCTGGTTCATGCGAAACAGAATCCCTAGCATTGCTGCCGTTGGACCGGTGTGATTGCTTCTCTTTTGCCAGTTCCTGCACAATTTCATTTAGTTCTTCCTGTGCTTTTTCCTTTAACTGCCGCTTCAACTCGTTCAGCTCTTTCGCCTGAGCTTCTTTAATATCTGCAAGTGTCTCCATAAATCTTTGGTGCTCTTTCGAGACCTGCTCTTGTTGGCTTTGATTTCGCTGCTCATCAAAGCTGTCGCGAAGCTTTTGCAGTTCTTGCTGGTGAGACTGTTTGAGAGAGTCGACTTCGCTGATGTAGTCCTTTTTGAGAGATTCGAGTTGTGCTTTCATCCGCTGCTTTTCTTGCTCGACCTGCTCCTCGTGATCGCGGGTCATTTCAGTGAGCTTGGCCGCCAAATCATTCTGCAACTCCATCTGCTTCTGAGCATCTATCTGATCAAAAACCGTTTTGGAATTCTGGACTGCTTTAGCGAATTTGGATAGCGCTTCCTCATACTGTCGCAAAAATGAAGCTGCGCATTGCTTCAGATCCGACATGTATTTGCTCGCCTCCTGAAGAGCTTGAGATTGCGCCTCTTTTTTAATTTCCGACTCTTGGCGTTTTTCTCGCGTAAACGTTTCGAGCATCTGCGCCACTTCTGCCTCGACCTTTCGCTTATCGTGATCGAGTTGAGCGTTGAGCTTTCCACGAAGACGCTCCGATTCGGTGGTACGTTTCGCCTCGTACTTCTGACGTAACTCATTCAGTTTTTCTTCCAACTCCTTCTTGAGTCGCTCCGAATCTCCTTCCACAGCTGTTGCTAATTCGCGTTCGCTGGCCTTGCGTCGCTTCTCCTTTTCAGCGTTCGCCTGCTCTTCGTAGCGTCTCACCTCCTCTGCTGCGTTGCCGTCGATTTCTTGTTTTCGACGAGAGAGAAGATTCTCCTGCTCAGCCTTGTATGTGTCAAGCTCTTTCTCCACGTCCTGGTCTATTTTTGCGCGCAGGCTGCTGTTTCGCTCCGCCTTGTAAATCTCGAGGTCCTTCGCGAGCTGCCCATCTGCTTTCGCCTGAAGAGCTTTCTGCTGTTCAGTTTTATACGCCTCTAACTCCTTCGCAACCTGCAGATCTGATTTTCCTTTTTGCTCCTTTGCTAGAGAGACGCCAGCCGCTTTCATTGCTGCATCGGAAGAAGCCGTCGAGGAAGATCTGCCAAGCTTATCAAGTGCTCGAAGACCGTTAACACCGCCTCCAGCCACGACCTTGGTCGGGAGAGGAATTGCATCTGGCTCATCGGCTTTTGGCGGTTTATGAAGTTCGGACGCTAACGGAGAATCGTCTTGTGAGGTTGGTGATGGGAACTCGGGAGAGCCCATATGTCCTGCACTATTTTTTTCGCCTTTAAGAACGTCGGCCCCTAGACTTGCAAGTTTTATCGGACCGGGCGCATCCTTTTTTGGCTGAATCGTTTGCACCAACGGTGCGGTTTGCACTTGCTGCACCGTTGAAGTGATTTTCTTCTCGTCCTGCGCGCTTGCTTTTGTTTCCGACGCTTCCGCGTCTCTGCTCTTCGACTTCTTCTTTTTTGACGATTTCCCTCTCTTGCCTGATGGAGCGTCAGTTGCTGCAGCGTTATCAGCTTGTTTTTTTTCGTTGCCTTTCGCATTCAATTTTGCCTTCTCGGCACTGAGTAATTCTCGGTAATGCTCATCCGAAGGATGATCCCAAATACTCTGGCCGGTTTTGAAATTGAAATAATAAAGTTCACCTTTCTCGCTCTTGCACGCCTTCCAGTTGTCAGGCAGAGGTGCTTTGAGTCCCTCGCGTGCGATCCACAATAGCGGCATGTCTTGAGGCATCTCCATACCGAGCCATTTGCCGTACTCGATCATCTCGGCTTCAGAGGGCTCATAGTCAGTGTCGGGTTGGACATCTAAAACCACTGACATTGTGCAACACTGCAAAAAGCAGCCTCTTGCTCCTACAAGTGAGGGTATGTAGTGATATAGGTCAACGCAAAACGAGGAACTGTCGCCGTCGCTGCAGATTTTTTTTTTTGCAAAGAGGCTCAGACACAGCAACGTGTTTCGTGAAAATAAATAGAGACAGTCAACAGCAGGAAAAGATGTTTCCAGATAGAAAAAAAAAAGAAATAGTGAAAACGAGTTAGTTGTTTTGGAAGAAGGTTGACCGTTCGGCTCATTGCAATTTATTTTCGCTTTTCCTATGATGGAGGCTAACAGGTGCCAGGTTAATTTTCTGCTTCTATTTCTGCGCATTTTAAAAGAGGCACGTTGCATCTATTTAAATATCTATAGATATATTACGTACAGCGAATTGCGAAATATGTTGAATGTGCATATTCAAATAATGTGCAACGAATTCACAGGAAGGAAAATAATATGTGAGAAAGAGAAAAAAAAAAACTTACGTGTAGCAAGTTAAAGAAACTAGCTACAATAACTGTACAGAAGAATTGCAAGCTGCACTAAAAATTTCAGCCAAAGAGTTTCCATGTGCCAGCAAAACAAGTGCGTTGATCTCCTTGTTTTAACAGCAGCAAGAAAGACGGTTTCCCTCACGCTTCTGTAATGATGCCTTGCTGCTGTTAACTTTTCGAATGAACAGGCGCACACGGTTTTTTAAAGAAACGGAGTTTCAACGCTTCCGGGAAACACTGTTGACGCCTTCAAAGACGCGACCTTCCTCCACAACAACGAAACCAGCCATTCCAAAAAACCTCCTGGTCGTTGCCTGCATAGACAGCGCTCTGTGGTGATACACTTTCATCACTCCACAAGTTATGAGCACGTTGTGCATGCGTTTTCTTGCGCGTCACCCCAAACCCATCGGACACTCTTTTCCCGTCGCGTCAGCCACTTCGGTGCAGATCGATTGCCAAACAAGGGTACGTTGCTCCCTGAGCCTGGCAACGCCTTGAAGACTCACAAGAGCCTCTTTCCGCCTCCGGCAAGGAACCGAGAAAGCAGCCAACACACCTTCCATCACGCACAAGCCACTTAGACCCCGCCCGCCCCCGGTTGTTGTTTAAAACCCTTTCTGTTATTGCCTGTCAGCGAAAGGCGCGGTCCCGCTGCACTCTGAAGCGCTGCACGCAACACACAGCGCACCCACACTCAATACACCTTGGGTGTGTCCCCGAACGCTGTCCTCCCCCCCCCCCCACCGCGCGCTGACTTACAGCAGAAAAGCTGGCGCTCCTGGAAAGCTTTCCGACGAAACGAGAATCATTTTGGGTTTTCTGCGGATGTCACGACACTGTATGTGCTTTGTCGTTATCAAAGATAAAGCCAAAGGAGGAGGGAGAAGAAGAATGTAAGCTGGCAAGCACTCGGTTCACATGCTGGACGCCGTGTACACTCGCGGGCCCACATTGGCTCCGCACCACTGTCGCTCATTTTATTCGCTGGTGTTGCTTCGTTACAATTCACTGTGGCTTTAAGAAGCCGACCGCCTTCCCCCGGAGGACGCGGCCGAGCTTCGGGTCAAATCAGACTCAATGGAAAACACACGGGTTATCACAAGAAAGACACCGGAGGCGCAGAGCTCGTTCAACGAGAGTCACTATCGCGGGCGTGTCAGCGCGCGACCGAAGGCGACAACCGGGCCGGCAGCGAAGAGCTCAGCCGGAATGTGTACAGCGGGTCGAGGTACCCAAACAAGGAAAAACGCACACCGTCCCGGCATACAAGCGCGGCAGGGACAAGAATACCCTCCCTTCCATCGGAGAGGTGTCCGGTGTGCCAGCAACCAGCCTTCGTGAGGGGCGCTGGAGGGGCTTAAAGAGAAGAAAAGCGAAGAGATGTGATGCCCGGAGAAAACGAAAACGGAAAACAAAACCC